CATGCGTCTTGCATGAAACAGTCTGTCGCCTCTGAGTGTCGACTTCAATGTTCAGTTTTGTATATGCATACGCTCTATCTCTGATATTGAGCACTTTATCCCATAAATTTAACAAACTTTAAAACTATATATATATATATATATATATATATATAATAATTTATTCGAAAATTATAGCATATACAATGTTATAAAGTCACTACAAAATTAGCCATTTTGTTTCAACACTTCTAATGTCTTATCAAGTGATGATGTCGAGTTTAGAATAAAAGGAAAGCCTTTATTTTACATTCAACACCATCACTTCTTTTTTGTGTTATAATTTTCGAATAAATAATTATATTTCCTCTACTCTGTATTGAGCACTCTTTTAAGAAAAGTATTTGTTGCTTATTAGAATTTATTCCGTATGCATCAATCCTATACTTGGGTATATATATATATATATATATATATATATATATATATATATATAAAAAAAAATATAGTCTTAAGGTGTGCTATATTTATGGGATAAAGTGCTCAATATCAGAGATAGAGCGTATATAAATATAAAGTGAACATAAAGTCAACACTTAGAGGCGACAGTCTGTTTCATGCTATATGTGGCCTGACGATTGCATATAGCATGAAACAGACTGTCGCCTCTAAGTGTTGACTTCTATGTTCACTTTTATATATATATATATATATATATATATATATATATATATATATATATGTAAGCAAATATATGGATATAGATCCGACAGTATGAAGAAAAATATACAGAAAAAACAAACAAAAATCTTAATATGCAATTATGCTGTATTAATCGTCTTTTCGTGTTGAATTTTTATATGTTCTAATGTTAATTATGTTTAAATGAAAAGGTCCTGAAGATGGTCCGAAACGTCCGACGTTGACTTTATATTAACATAATTACAGCATAATTGCATATAAGATTTTTGTTTGTTTTTTCTGAATATTTTTCTTCATATATATATATCTATCTGTATATATATATATGCCTATGTCGGTGGGTTTTAAGTAGGAAAAAATTGAACTCATATTAAAGTTGGAAAATAATTTTAAAAACACGTAAATGTTATTAAGAGTAGGAGCAAAAATGTCTAGATCATGCCAAATAGTTGACAATGTTGTTATTCTTGAACTCCAATCTATTGTTAACTATATAATCTGAAATACTTTTGGCGTGTATGCGTGCCAAAAATACCTGTTGGCGAATATTGAACCAGGATAAAATCTACGTTCGTTGAGAGACAAAATAAAAGAAAAATTCCTGTAGATTTCAGTGCCAAAGTTTCGGGCGTTGTTTCAAACAAATAAAATAAAATACCTTGGCCTGACGTTCCCGGTTCACGTAGTGAAATTTAAGTAGCTAAGATAATGCAATTTACACATTTAATATTTTACACTTTATATAATCTCTACACTTGCTTTGAGCACTTTTTTCTTGTATATTTTGAAAGTTAGTATTAACCAACAATGAATACGTTCAAATTTAAACATTTTATATGTATCTAGCGAGTAAATGTTCATTTAATCATCTTTTTATTAAAGGCAACAGAAGAATGTTTTGTTATATATTTTTAATGTTTTTTTTCTTGTCGGTGGATTATGGTGTTGGAAGATGGAAGTAAAACAGTCCACAATTTCTGTTATTTTTCTTCTAAAAGAAACTACGACTGATTGATTGTTTGATTGATTCTTTTTTTACGGTTTATCGACCCTCCACAGGTTATTTAAAGCCAGAGAATATTTTTAGATTATAAGAATTTTCTTTTTGCATTTTTTGAAGATAATAATGATTTAGCGATAAGCGCTTTATAAATTAACCCATTGTAGTGAACGAGATAATCAAGTACCCCGGAAAAAAGTTCGTGTTTTGTGTGCAATCTGCCGGGGAGGGATTGCCAAAAAGTAGTCAGCAAAACTCTTAAAGCGACTTACCTCGTCAACCCAAGCGACAGCGCGTCGCGTGTATTCTGGGACGAAAAAGAAACAAGTCCGTCGCAGGAGTCGCTATAAGAGGATATTAATATGCAAATTACGGAGCATCCTATCCCGGCTGTCGACGAATGGAAAAAATAGGTTCTGCCGATAAAAGCAGTTGGTGTTGTCGACTCGGGAGGAAAAAATTCGGACAGTTTTGGCTACGGCGTTCGTGAGTTATTTTCCTGACGTGTTACAAGTGATTTTCTTTCGTTGTGTTGTGAAAGCCACAAATTTGCTTTGAGAACGCTTACACTTCACCCATAGCAGGATTTAAATATATAAGTATATGAATCAACATTCTGGTGCACATTTATACATTTATATAGCGATCACGTCTGGAACCAGAACTCAGTTCTTCGATTAACTATTCCGGACCATTATCTGTTCCACCAGCCGCACATCCAAGCTCACAGAATCGGGTATTCCCAAGCGGTCACCCTTCTAATTCCTGACCAGGCTCGACGTTGCTTAATGATTAATAAAAATATGAAATCGTTGTTTTTGTTTAGCGGCTTGTCAAATGATGAGATATTGCCACGAATCTAGTAGTATGCTTAAATTCATAGATTCTAGTTACCATAGAGGAAAGTAATATTTTTTCTGGGAATACAAAAGTTAGGCACAAGGCCAAGAGGGGTTATAGAGTAAGACTGGTCTTCAATCTGTCTCATCTTAAACTTAGATAGCCATAAATACTGACCTAAACATGCCACACTATTTCTTACACCAAAACAACACATTCTTAGTTACCATTCTTACTACAGCCACCATAATACCTCAAAGTCTATATGGTTATTTTCTAAGCTTAGCTTAGATGTGGCACAAGGCCGAAAGTATGGAGCACCTAGTGAGGAACGAACTCACTTTTCAATTGTAACAGATCTAGCGAGACATGCCTGCTAGCCATTACATCACGCCGAGACGCCCCCCTCAAAGTCTATATGTAGTCCTAACTGGTTCCTATATGTACAATTTTTCTGAGGTGGGGGTAATAAAATAACAACATTTAAAAATTAAATGTTTTTTTTACAATGGATACAATTTATATACAAAAACAAAATTGCTCTCTTTTACCCACGAAAGAACCCCTCCTGCCCCTTCCCCCACCATTAGTATCCCTGAAGTTCACTTCTACGAGAATACATCACTGTGACTGCTCTGGTTTCACACTCTGTTGACCTGAGATGGAACAAAGATATTGAATCAATAGCTTCATCTCCTGCTAGGAATGCTGTTTCTGTGTGTCGCACCAGAAAGATTTTCTCGCCCGAGTCCATCCTTGAAATCTATAAATCAACCATTCGCCCTTGCATCGAATATTGCTGTCATATATAGTCTGGTGCCCCCGCTGTTCGTCTTAAGGTCCTCGACAAAGTCCAGAGATGGACATGCAATGTGATTAGTCTTGATCTGGCATCTCGTCTTCAGTTGCTCTCTCACAGAAGTGCCATCGCCTCCCTCTGTCTTTTCTACAAATACTTTCACGGTAACTGCTCCGACGAGCTACTTTCGCTGGTTCCCAAACTGCATGAGTTTAAACGTGCCACTAGGTTGACATCTCATCGGTCTCACCCTGTCACTATCGAAACGGTTAAATGTAGTCGTCTCTTCTACTCCAATAGCTTCATGTCTCGACTTCTCATCTGTGGAACTCACTTCCTCTTACTTGCTTCTCTGACAGCTATAATCTTCAGTTATTCAAATGCAAAGTTAACAGACATCGCCAGATACCTTGATCTATTCCGCGTCCTTCTCTTCATCCTCTCCTCTATCATGTCTCTTTATTCTTGCTCCCATTGTCTGTAACTCCAAACGTTCTAGAGACAGGACTGCCTTGCTTGGGGAAAATGCTTAAAAAGAAACAAAAAAAAAAAAAAAAAAAAAATAAAATAGTGGTACTACTATATATGCGGTCTACCACGGTATCAAACACTATAGGAAGAGGTCTACCACGGTATCAAACACTATAGGAAGATGTCTACCACTGTATAAAACACCATAGAAAGAGCTCTACCACGGTATCAAACACTATAGGAAGTGGTCTACCACGGTATCAAACACTATAGGAAGAGGTCTACCACGGTATCAAACACTATAGATAGAGGTCTACCACGATATCAAACATTATACGAAGTGGTCTACCACGGTATCAAACACTATAGGAAGAGGTCTACCACGATATCAAACACTATAGGAAGTGGTCTACCACGGTATCAAACACTATAGATAGAGGTCTACCACGGTATCAAACACTATAGGAAGTGGTCTACCACGGTATCAAACGCTATAGTATGCGGTCTGCCTCATTTACTACCGTTGTGTGCGTTCGACCGCGCTATCTAACTCTATAGCGTATCTAGACGATTGTTCTCTCGTGAAAATGTGACAGCTGTTTCCTCGGTCAAGATGACAGTTCTATAAAGATCGTTCAGCGACATTTTAATCTGAAGGAGATTATCCAGTTTACATTAACAGTTTCAGATCTAAGGCAATTCTGATGTGGGAGCTCCATTTCCTTCTTTTTCTGTGGACACGACAGGTGAGGTGATTCATCGTAGCAGATCGCAGGTGTACGTCACGAGAGGTAAGGTGAGGTCACGGTATAATTCATAGCGCAGTAGACCACATCCTATAGCAATAAATGAGGTAGAACGTATACCATAGTATCACTGAATTGTGTTAGTTTACCAAAGAGGAAAGTCCACAAAAAATAATTACCGTGAAAGTATTTATAAAAAAAGACACAGGGCGAAGCGACATTACGGCGGCGGGAAAGTGACTGAAGGCGAGAAAGCAAGAATCCGGAAGAGAGTTCCAGAAAGAAGAGGTGCGATAGAAAAAACTGTTAGCAAAAGATTTTTAGGTTACATGTAGCCATTTCAACTGTAAAATGATGAAATATTACCGCCAATCTAATACTGCAGTTAAATTCGTAGCGTCTAGTTACCATAGAGAATTTATCCGAAAAATTACCAAGAAAGTTAGGCTTATCGCCACTTCCGGTTGAAACACCAATTCCCGCTTGATCACCGAAGTTAAGAAACGCTGAGCCTGGTCAGTACCTAGATGGGTGAACGATTGCAAATACCGGGTGTTGTAAGCTTGGATGCGCGGGTGGTGTAATGGATAATAGTACGGAATTGTTAATCGGAGCGCCGAATTCAAATTCCGATTGGCTCCGTTATGTTCAGTTATGTGCAAATAGCTTTGGAAAAGGTATAGATCCAACTCTTCCCGCTCAATCTATGGATTAATTATTACGACTTGTATCCCTAAATCATTATTAGATACCCCCACAACCAATTTTTACAATATAAACTATTTCCTGTCAATATCTGATAAGCCATAGAAAATGAATCTATCAATCATACCCATGAAATTATTTACAAGAAAGCTATGTTACGACGCCTGTAAAGATGCCAGGTTAGGTCCATTGACATTGCAGATTTTTCTTTGGATTCTATCAATGATCTCTAAATATATGGCCATAAAATAACATTTTAGCACGCTGTTGGATTATTGAGATTTTCGACAGTAAATGATGTAAGATTTTGGCAAACTACGAAAGGTCAAAACCAAAACAAAATGCAGCAGGTGCTCATCATCATTATTTATGTGTTCGCAATAAGACCATGGCATTGATGGCTCTTCACAGATGCCTGCTTTTATCTCGTGAAATGAGGTTTGACTTTTAAGTTACCTCCTTATTCATGAACTGCCATCCAACTACACAAACACATTGATACTATTAGAGTGAAAAATAATCATGACGATGATCTACACTACTGATCTGATAATAACAGACTCTATGTAAGGAGAAAAGAAGGAGGAACTAGACCCAATAATTCAGTGTGTATGTTACTATCCCTATTCTCGTCTATATTTTAGTTGTTATATTCTTTTATGATTTTGTTTTGCTGTTTATATTTAACCAGTTTACTAACTTCCAAATGTATTACTCTTACCATTCGAAGGCACTTCGTGAAAGCGAATATGCCTTTCAGAAGCTAAACAAAGTATTAAGAAAACAGAGTATTTCATTAGAAACAATGCAAAATGAATTGAATTCTATGTTATATCTATCCTCGTTTATGGCAGGGAGTTCGGGGCAATCTCTTTACAGGCGAAAAAGGCACTCGACGGGGATGTGGTTCTATAGGAACATAATTCTGCGAATAGCATGGACAGAACACGTGACCAACAGGGACATTTTACAGAAAATTGGCACTAGAAGGACAAGCATTCTTAAAATCAAAAAGAGAATGTTTAAATTTGCGGATCATATCTTGTGGAAAGAGGAAAATATTGAAATGTTTGGAAAATTTAACATGGACGTTACATTTTGAAGTCGTAGAAAGAAACAGCGAAGAAATTGCCCAAATGAGATTGTTGAATGATGAATTTCAGAGCAGGGGCAAAGAGAAAAGGCAAAGTCTCAAACGAACCGTGATGGCCAAGTTCCTGATTAATATCGTGGTTTATAGTTTAACTCTTTTCTTTACAAAGAAAATTTTCTGGATTTTCTTAAACTTTGGTTTAATTTACATAGATTTCATTCATGTTTTTCTATTTCCTTTTATATGGCTGTTCTTGCGTTGGGTTAGATGTCAGATTTGCAATCATTTCCAGCCGTTGTCGTTTGCTATATTCGATATTTCTTTGCTGTTCTCTTTCCAGATTTATGTTCTTGATTTTATCGCCATTTTCCCTTTCTTTCTTCGAGTTTCATTTTTAACGGTTGTTTTTGTAGATTAGCGCTAACGCCATAGACCTCTCTCTGAACAGCGATGTCTATATTGTAAGTAATGATATGAAGGCAGAACGAACGCATAGGTACTGACCCTGAGATCAGAAATCTCTTTTTAAAAACTTAGCTGATAATATTGCCGACCCGTTCTTGCATTTACTCTGTCGTCACTATAAATTTCGGTTATGTCTTGCCATGTTTTCACTCTACTTAAAATCAGTAGTAGCCCCCGATTGAACATACAAAGGGTAAACAATGTTCAAAGCTGATTTTATATTCGGGCATGATATATGCCAAAATGATAGGGGTTTTGGGGGGGCTTTTTTTCTGCAGGTAAGTATAAACGGTCAAGGAACAAATATAAAAGAAAATTTTAAGTCTTTTTACTAGTTAAAAAAAGATCGTACTAGTTAAATTTTTGTTGTAACTTAGGGAAGGTTACTGAATAAAATAATCACACAAGGTTAGTAATGAACGATAATACTTAGGACACGAACAACACGTATAAGATTTGCCAGCAGCGCGTAGAAATAGTCAACTGATAGAAGTGAGTCAAGTGGATTTCAAAACGAATCTCCAACTGCAAGATATCTATCAACCGCCCAATACGGTCAGATGTGGCAGAAGGCCGAATTTGATGTGGGGTATCCGAGCCCGTAGGGTCGGACAAAAAATTCCCGTAGACCCCATAAAAAACGTATCTGTTTCTCGGGACGAGACTCTGCCCTTTGACATAGCCTCGTCTGAGGATCTTCTCTACCCATAGATACAGAGTTTGACCAGTGCAGCTGGAGACGAATGTCTAACTGTATGATATCTACCAACCGACCACCGCGGTCAGATGCGGCACAAGGCCGAATTTAATGTGGGGTATCCGAGCCCGTACGTCCGGCAAAAAATTCCCCGTAGATCCTGTATAAAACAGGGTCGGACAGCTGTTTTCCGAGACGAGACTCTGCCCTTCGACATAACCTCGTCTGAGGATCCTCTCAGCCCGGAGGCAGAGAGATTGACCAGCACAGCTAGAGAGGAATCTCCAACTGCAGGATATCTACCAACCGCCCCACGCGGTCAGGTGTGGCATAAGGCCGAATTTAATGTGGGTTAACCTGTAATCCCTTATAAAGCGGGGTCGGATAGCTGTATCACGAGACGAAACTCTGCCCTTCGACATAACCTGGTCTGAGAATCCTCTCTGCCCGGAGGCAAAGATTTTGACCAGCAGAGCTAGAGACGAATCACCAACTGCAGGTTATCTACCAACCGCCCCCACGCGGTCAGATTGGCACCAGGCCGAATTTAATGTAGGGTATCCGGGCACGTAGTCCCGGCCCCAAATTCTCCGTAGACTTTAACATAACCCCATAGAAAGAAATCTTGGGGAGTGATATCCGTCGAACGAGTTGGCCAAAGAATTGGTCCATCCCTTCCAATCTACCAGTCTGAAAATATTAAGGGTTCATTCAACAGTACCCCCTTCTTACCTGAAATACGCAAATGGAATACGATTAAAAGCTTTGGTAACTACTGAGTATACAGAACAATTTAAAATTAAGATATCCCATCAATTTTCGTTTGTAAGATATATTTTTCAATTGTAAAGAGACTTTATGGGCACTTTGAACTTTAAGCGGATTGAGTTATAATTGTTTCAGCTTGTCAGTATGTATACTATGATGAATGGCTCTTGGCATGCCACACATACCCGAGGATCTTTCTTTTTTAGGATATAGGAATGGGTTATGTTACTATGTCCAATATGTAGCCTGGACATAATCAATTTTTATCTTCTAATTTGATGTTTCGGATGCCATTCCCCTATAGTAGGTTTAATGTCTGTCTATATTTCTGAGATGAGGTATTATGTACAGTATTTACATTAGTCGGACTATTGTCCTCATCTTTGTCGCCATATTTTTCACACCGTTTCAGCCGTTGTACGCTCCGGCCTTCTTCAGGTGGTTGGAATTTCGAACTGAACCCTTTATTTCGATCAATGGGGTAGACTGTTCTAGTTCCACGTGCCATGTTTGATGGATGTCAGTTATCAGTTATCTTCTGCTAATTTTCCCTCTAATTTTCAGTAATCGAAATAAAGGGTTTAATGTGTTGGCAATTTTTATATACAAATATACTGTTGGTATTTTTACTATAAAGATGTTTATACTTAGATAGTGTTTTGTTTTGGGGTTGAATATTTTCCAGTAGCTCGGACCATAGCAGGTGCTTCCACTGCGGGCCAAGGTGGACTTCGGGACAACAGCAATGAGGAGGTGGTTCTGCGCTCTTCAATACCTCCAATCGCCCGATCAGATGCCTTGCAGCCCGATGTAGTTTATCGTTATACCCAGGACTAAGCATTTGATGCAACCCAAGCTAGTAGCATTACATCATTATCGTGCAAATCCTGAAATGTCTCTTTATATTAAAAATGGTTAAAATAGATAGATAGATAGATAGATAGATAGATTAAAACTGCTAGATAGATAGATAGATAGATAGATAGATAGATATGCATAGATTAAAACTGCTAGCTAGCTAGATAGATAGATATATAGATATGCATAGATTAAAACTGCTAGCTAGCTAGCTAGATAGATAGATAGATAGATAGATAGATAGATAGATATGCATAGATTAAAACTGCTAGATAGATAGATAGATAGATAGATATGCATAGATTAAAACTGCTAGATATAGATAGATAGATAGATAGATAGATAGATAGATAGATATGCATAGAGTAAAACTGCTAGATAGATAGATAGATAGATAGTTGAACGTCCATTGCGACACAAGTTCATACGATCAATAGCTAAAGATGCTGGGGAAATGTTTGGTTTCTTGTACCGCTCCTCAAAGTAATGGACGCCTTCTTGCCATGCTTCCTAGATTCCTTACTTACACAAGATCTGAAATTTACAGCTAAAGCTCACCATGAAACCTACACTGTGACGAATCATCTTTATTGCCTATCTCTAAAAAGAATCGTCCCGGTGGCTAGGATCAAAGTGTAGTATCTGCGCTTTGTGAGCTACCGGGTCAGGTGTCTGTCGAACTCTCTGCTTGAGGAGAGGAACCCGGACGAAGCTCCGCCGAAGGGTAGGGTTTCGTTGGGGGAGGTTGACGGAACTGACCCGCCTCGGCGGGTTTGGATGATTATTTATTTTTGGCTGGGCCTACGGGCTCAGAGATACCCACATTAAAAAGGCCTTGTGCCACATTCGACCTCCGTGGGTGGATTGATAAATACCATCTTTATTGCCTTCGTATTCCGTTAGCGAGAAGTAACTTCAATTGGGACAGATTCTCTTTAAGAAGTGCTAGTGTATTTAATAGAATGCTTCCCTGACC